AAACTTTCTTTCATAAAGTGAACAAGGTAGATGCAAATATATATTTTTAAGTAACAGACAAAGTATACCTCGCAAAAAACTGATTCAAACAAGAGATCATAACTGTGAAACTGATATGATGCTTGATTTGTTTTTGACAACGAACTTGTTACTTTTGGTACCGTGAACAAAACTGTCAACAGACAATTGCCATCCCTACATTTCATGTAGTTCTGTTCTACCTTGGTTAATATAAGCAAGACTTCATAGTTCCCCCAGTTATTATCATCCATATATTTTGAAAAAAGCTAAACCTATAAAGTTCAAAGACATAGTGGATCTTAAATTTAATATCCCCAAATCTGTACAAAAGCATTTTAGAGAAGGTCTTACATATAATGCTGTCAATTATTTTTGTTTTGAGCAGGACCTGTCTGTTACTGAATACTGAGAATTAAACCTTAAACCAGCAGTTTCCTTGAAATATATTGATATAATGCGCATTAAAAATATTATTTCATGATGGAATTCCACAATTCTGGATTTTGTATAGATAGGATCTTTTTGCCAGTGTGTGTGACGTTGTCAGTTTGTTTTCGATCTATGAGTTTGACTGTCCCTCTGGTATCTTTCGTCCCTCTTTTTTCTACACCTATTTTGCGATTCATATTTTCAATTAACCGTCCAATTCCTATTGGCATTGACGTCGTTTAACCAAGGTGAGGCTTTGACTGCCAAGATTCAAATTATTTGCCTCACCAGAAATAAAATTCAAGTAACGCTTCTGTCGATTGATTGATAATTGGTTGCGAAACGTCCAGTGGTAAATATTATATGTATAATTAACGTGTAGAAAGCTAGGCATTTCTACGAGAGGCATCGAAATTAACGTCCCCACTCTGACCGGACGGGACTGCGTACTTGTACATCCTGCACAACCAAACGGACTCCCCACTTTGGCAACGGTTTAACTGCCGATCGGAACAGAACCAGCAGTTACCATATTTCTATTCCCCCGATCATTTTTGATGGTTACTGTCGTGGCGAGCGCGCGACAATAGAGAGAGTTATGAATATGGAAGATACATATACATGTTCGTGTATTAATCAAAACATTTGCAACAAGCATGTGTGGCCTTAAGACACCGTGCCCTCTCACATGATCATATTTCCATGTTGAGTGCACCACTTAATCCGGATCAAACTCTAATTTGGTATATAATTTTAAACGTTTAATATTTTGAACAGAACGAAGAACGCACGAATGCACAGACCAGTAAATATGATATCCCCTTGCTATAATAAGTTGTTCATACAACTTAAGTGAACATCTTACTTAACAAAACTTCAATCAAATATTCCGTGCATAGATATAAGAAGATGTGGTATGAGTGCCAACGAGACAACTCTCCATTCAAGTCAAAATTTATAAAAGTAAAACCATTATAGGTCAAAGTACGGTCTTCAACACGGAGCCTTGGCTCACACCGAACAGCAAGCTATAAAGGGCCCCAAAAATTACTTATGTAAAACCATTCAAACGGGAAAACCAACGGTCTAATTTATTTAAAAAACGAGAAACGAGAAAAACTTATGAACCACATCAACAAACGACAACTACTGAACATCAGATTCCTGACTTAGGACAGGTGCAAACAATTGCAGCGGGTTTAAACGTTTTAATGGTACCAATCCTTCACTCTTATCTGAAACAATGGTGTAACATCACAACATAGAAAGACACACTATAAAATATCAATTGAAATGGCTTAACTCAATCAAAAGACATATTAACACAAGTGAACATACACTGAACAAATAAATTTGATCTATGATACAATGCAAATACAAAATAAATAAACCGTTTTTCATATGTAACGCCAAACATTTTAGAAAAACAATTTAAGAGCAATGACGTTAGATTATGCATACGTTTGTACGGGCTCTTCCTAGAATCCATGCATCATTGTAATTAAACACAAGATACAAAAAAAATATAACTGATTCAGTAAAGTGAAATCATATATTATTCTTGAAGATGTGTCCTCATAAATTCCATTTGATAAAATTCTACGGAAAGGTGACGAAGTACTATCAGAAAGATGCATCAGTGATCTGAATGTTGACAAAAGTACCATGAAATATATTATAGAAGAATGCTAGAATAAAAGAAGAAGCAAGTCGTGTACACCTTTTACATTCCGGCGTGTTTGAAACTCTTGTTTTATTCTTATAATGTTTTAATCAAAAATGAGGATATGATCTCGCTTCAGATTCCATTATTTTTATTTTTTCAAACTTCATTTTGATTTAGTAGCTTTAATGATTCATCGTTTGAGAGATAAATATATAGGTCAAGTGAAATGACAAAGTAATGATCGGTGCATTTGATTACCGGTAACTGAATTAATTATTCCCTTTCAAGGTTGTTGTCAATGAATCGTCCTAAATTTAATAACAAAATATGCAAAGAATTAAAATAGTACTTTGTGCTAATTTTTGAATATCATCTATTGCAACAAAGTATGTGTATTCAACGAGCCAAAAATTCATGCCGTCTATGCTCCCCTCCGTCATCCTTCAATCCAATAGGCTGAGATACGGTCAGATAGGTCGGTTATGTCGATTATTGTCATTTTATTGGAAATCTCTATTATAACTACATATCAATTTTAAATCCAACATTCAAAGACAATTCTCAAAATATAGGATTATTTATACAAAAGGTAGTTGATACCACTCTTTTATGATGTTTGGTACCTTTGATCGCTTTGAAATAATTTCACATATATATATATATCTTTTTTCCCTGGCATAAAAAGACATTTTACAAAATTTCTGATTTTTTACCAAAAAATTTGCCCACATTAAATGTTATCCTTCTGTGAATAAAAACAAACAAAATTCTTTTTGGACACCTGGAAACAATCTTGAATATCATAAATATATCATTTAAAAATAATTCAAACCACAATAAGATATTTCCCAAAAATAATGATTTGTAACAGAAATTAAGTTTTTACAGTACGTTTACCTGCAAACTAATAAAGTAATAAATCTTTCTTTGTGAAGTTTTAATAAAGATTGTAACAAATATATTATATTTTATTTTAATTAAAAAAAATAAGACATTTGGGGAAACCATTTTGAATAGAATATGAAACCTATTACTATAGTATATCAACTTTTTTTTATGAAATTCTATTACAAGAAGATGTTTCTGAAAGACTCTCTCACAATTATTGTCTAAATTTCACACAAAAATTAGATATTTCCTATTATAAAATTTAACACTGTGGTTAAAGATTTTAAAATCTGTTGAGACAATCTTGACGTATTGTACATGTACGACATAGAAGTGTTGACGGACAGACACACATTGTGATCACTATAGGGCCACCGCAAAGTAGTCAACGGGGTCCTTAAGGTCTTTGGTGTATTGAAAGGTCTTGACATGACGATTAAGAATATACATGTATAACTGTTTAGGAGTCGGTATATAAATAATTTCAAAATATTTCACGATATATTACCTGCGGAAGAGGATAAACTCTTAGTTGCACTGAAAAGGTTTTCCCATGAGGAACAAGAATATGTATGTTTTTTAGTGGAAATATACAAATCAATAATTTTACATTAACAGAGATCAAAGTCGGAGGTCATCTTTAATAGTATGCGACACATCATAGGTGTTGCACTCATGTGCCAGTTATCAAAAGCCTATGTCAAAGGATTAAAAAGTTATGTTACAAAGAGAAAATGTGAAAAAAAAAAATCAATCCATTAAAAAAATCAATCCATTTTTTACATTAAGATCAAGCTCAGATGAAGCTTATGTTGATATGAACAACGGCGTCTTGTTGTTATATACCTTCACATCAAATATCACAAACCATGATCAATCGATAAAACAGGATTCACCCGGACAAGGTTGTATGAAAACAATCAGGGGATACGAAACACAACTGAAACATATTGTATGTCTCTCTCTCTATTTGTCTAGAGGGAGAAAGAATTACACAAATTCAAATACTATGTGTATATTATATTTATGTGTCAAACAGGGGTTATACTGAGCAATAGCACTATTATTTCAAAGTCCATAAAATCTATCAATCTGTATGATGAAGGTGTTACAGGTGAATACGGACGTAATACGGATGGGAGCCAAGGAATGTAATACGGATGGGAAACAACGGACGTTGTACGTCCGTGGTACTTAACGTCCGTAAAACATCCTTTTAATACGGACGTTTTACCTCAAAAGCTATTTTACCTGTGTAGCAATATCTTGGAAAGTTCAATAAAAGTACTGACGTGCTGTTTAATCGGATGAAAGATCTGATGTCTGGCATATAAATAAAAAAATGTTATACCTCCATGTAGACTACATGCAGTTACTTGTTCAAGTCAAATATCAAACATTTCAGCCACATTTAGGACATTTACATTCTAGTACCTAACATGTAATCAATTGTCTAGGTTCTGTTGACATAGAGGGTCGAAAGGGATAACAAAAAAAAAGTTAAATGTATTTTGCATTGTCTGAAAAACTTACTACTTTTTATGAAAGCTATATCATTTATCTTTTATGAAAATCGATATATCTTATCGTCAGAATATTCGATTTTAAAGATAAGTTCTAGTGTTTTGATACATTAATTTTGTTTTCGGTTTAATTTGTTATCTTAAACATACCCAGTAAAGATGACATTTAAACTAAATTGATTCATCACTGCAGAAAACTGATAATTGCCACCAATTGTTTGCTAACAAAAGTTAAGTATTGCAAGACAACTGGATGCATTTGTTTCAAGTGTGACTCGTGTTCATACTTAATTTGTAAAATGGATAAATGTTGCATGAAACTAGATATACGTACTATTCCAAAATGTAGACATGTTAGATTATATTCTTATCTTTAGTCTTAAGGAATTTTAGCTGTAACCAAACAAATCAAGAGGCATGCAAAAACAGTGGGAAATACAGTAACATTTTATTTTCGCTTTGTTTTTTTTCAGAGGAGTACTACAGAAGATTTAGTAAGTATTTGATTGTTTATTGAACTAAAATTGAATTGTATTCCTTTACGTTTTTTATATTTGACATACAAATTTGAAAGGAAGCATAGAAAATGTTTGTTTTAAAATACCTGTAAAAATCGGCTTGTGTGAAGACCCCCTATAATAATTAGATTTCAACAAGACTGTAAGTCGAGATAAAACAAGCATATATATATACTGTCATAAAGATGAGAAAACATAGGTTTGCTTTCAATAGATTTGTAATTAGAATAAATTCGAACGCATGTAAACTGAAGATTGATCAACAAGAACCACCCACTAATAATATATGACAAACAATGGAAGTTCGGGTTAACTGCTTATAAGATAAATCTCTACTAGATAACTGGGTCATATTTGACAACCGTTGTATTTTGAAGCAGTTAAGCTGCTTTATGCGAGCACCCTAGATTTGTGTTCTACCCAATAAATGCTGAAATATGTGCCATTGTTATTTTCTGACTGGCTATTATGTTATTTATAACTAATTGAACACTTTTTTCATACTTTTTATTCTGGAATACAAAAAATATGACCAGAAAAACCTTAAATGATCGTCGAACCACCCAAAAGTTTTGAAGTTGCACATAGAAAGTAGTGCTCGCTTGAAATCCTTATGTAGATTATTATCCCCTGTGCTTTTGACTAAGATGTCAAAGAACAATTGTATGAAATATTTAATCGCCGAAAATCTCTAATTTCAAGTCGTTTACATTTGCTAAGTGGAAAAAAGCGCAGGAATATTGTATAACGGCTGTGACTAATATGACACGGTGTTAAGTCTCAGTTGGCGGTAATTTTAACTTCGTCGACAAAACGTAAATCAAGGACGTTCTAAATTTGGTGGATTCTGATAATACAAAGGTAATTATTATTAATCATTTTATTCGTTTTTGTCTGATATGCTTGTGATTATTTAAATCATCTTAATTAAATGTATGCTCATTTGTTTTCTTGTTAACACTATTCCGTTTATCTCGTAAATGAGCTTCATGCTTGTCAAATCAAGTTGTTGTTACTGTTATTGAATGAAATAAAACTAGAGATCTGATTGGTCGATGTCAAGGTCATTTCAAGATGGTTTCCTTTGTGTTTTTAGTTCAGGCTTTGTTTGGTGTTACAGACTGCTACATGTGCTTTGATTTAGCTCAATGTGCTTCAAATAATATTGAGATTAAAACTTTAAAAATTATTTTCTGAAGGACGGCATTATTTAACTTCCAAAATCGCATATTTTTGTAAAATATTAAGTCCGAATTTGTGACGCGTCTCACACCGTAATTGTTTTTGATTTACAAGGATTTTTCAATTTCCGTTTTGAAAAATACAACTTTTTCGATGTTTCTTTTTATGATTTGTTTATATTTAAACACTCGTGAAGTGTTCTAGAATCATTTCTATGCGTTTCCTTCAGCAACTTGATGCTGGTAAACGACTTTTCCATGAAAATACTGCAAAAAGAAATCGCATGATACGAAAAGAAGGTAACGTTAACGTTGTCAACAAGTTGAAGTTACAAACAGTTTTTTTCTTAATTCCTATTTACAGTTATTTAAAGTTCAAATAAATGTTTTTTTTTATTATGATATTAGTAATGGAAGACAGTGAAACCGTAATCAAGATATTTTAATTCACTTATAATTTCAAATAAAATTTAGAATGGAAATAGGGAATGTCAACCCAATCAAAGAGCAGACAACAGCCGAAGGTTACCAATGGATCTTCAATGCAGCGAGAAATTCTCACACCCAGAGGCTTGCTTCAGCTGGCCCCTTAACAAACATGTATACTAGTTCAGTGATAATGGACTTCATACTAAAATCAGAAATATACACAAGAAATTAAAATTAAATATCATACAACACTAACAAAGGCCAGGGACTCCTGACTTGGGACCCTAGAGAATTAAACATTAATTATCACAGCATCAATGAAAATTGACAAAGCTAATACATAAAGATTTTAGACATGAAGTTTTTTTGCTACATTGTATTTGTCAAAATAAGCAATATTATACCTATTTGTATTTGTTTCTGTTTCAGCTTGATTCCAACCTTTGGCAATGGCTAATACTAGAAGAGGCAAGGCATACATGTACATGTACAATACATGATTCTCTGTAGCACCTGGATTATTTACAATAATTCCATAACAGCAATGAAACTCTAGACTACTATGATGTTATGTACATGTATATCTACATTTATGATCAATGTTGAAGATTGTTTATGCCAGGTCTCATCATGTCGACTAGTCCGACAAGTTTTGGTTCAGCTTTCTGACAAGAATAATTATAAACTTGTCAGCAGTAACAACATATGAATATTAGTTATTATTAAGTGCACCTATCGGTCTTGCAATTTTTATTATTGTGCACTAAGAAGTATGCCTAGTAATCCAAAACTTTTTGCATGAAGTTATATAAAGATAGTTGGAATTCATGATATTGATGCATTGTGCAGAAACATGAAATATTTTCCTTGGTACAATTTAACAATCCAAGAGAAAGGTTAAATTGTACCAAGGAAAATTACTTATTACAATAATTACGCAGCAGTATTTTGATTGTGGATTCTTTTCAATTTTATTATTTACTGAATGCATATTTGTCACTTGTTTAATGCCTTGTTCAAACGTAAGTTTAATTTGAGTTGAATGCGAACCAAGTTCACACAATATTCTTTTTTTCATTTTGAATTGAATTCAAATCTAATGCGAATCGAGTTCGCTAATTGCGTTCACACACTCTTCTTTTTTAAATTCGAATCTAATTCAAATTGGCTAATTTGCATTATCCAAATCTCATTAGAAATACCTTTTTGGGTTAATTCGATTAAACTTTGGTGTGAACACTTTCTAAATTGTAATTCAAATTAAACTATGATAGATTAATTGATAAATTGAATTAAAAGTTAACGTCATTTGTCAATAAAGCGATTTTGACGCGTATTGCAATTTGAAGTAGAATTTACATGTACATTTGGACATTAAACATGTTAAACTTTTCGAATGGGTATTAAACTATGAATTCAAATCAGTTAATGCGAATTGAATTCGAACTATGTGTGAACACAGCATTAATATATCAAAGAAATGAGGAATATAAAATTATTAAAAAAAGATGGCCAAATATTTGTATTAATTTTGTTGCAATTTTTGTCTTGCCTTGACAGAGTCGAAAAGAGAGACATCTATATATATATAGGCATGCTGTTTTGGCACCATCAACAATGTATTAGTTTGTGATTTTGTGATAAGGTCTAGGTTATGGTAGGTCAATGATATTTGGTAAGCAGTTGTGTAAGCATAGGCACATTTCATTACCATGGAGAATATTTGGCCCAACCCCCTCAGTCATGGTCTATTGACTTTGAAACTTTGCATAGTTTACATATGTATAAGTTTGTGATTAGGTAATTTTAGGGGGAACCAATAGTATTAGGTCAATGCTATTTGGTGTGCAGTTGTATAAACTTTGTCATTTCTAATTTCCATTGAGATTATTTGGCCCGCCCCCTCAATCATGCTCTTTTTACTTGGAACCTTATGTTACTTTGAAAATTCATTTATTAGCTTTTGATTAGGTTAGTATTAGGGAAACCAATAGTGGTAGGTCAATAATAATTGGCATGCAGGTGTAGAAGCATTAGTATGTCTCATTTCCATAGCGGATATTTGGTCCTTACCCCTCAGTCATATGCATGATCTATTGACTTTGAAACTTTTACTTAGTTTACATGAATTAGTTTGTGATTATCATGATGATGTCAGTTTAATATTACCAGTAATCTTAAGTCAAAGCTATTTGGTATGCAAACGTATTGGTATTTAAAAGGTTCATTTCCATGGATATTATTTAATCCATACCTACTCATTATGGTTCATTGACTTAGAACTTGAATTTGTGTTAAGGTTTGTTTAAAGGGAACGACTTATGAAAAGTCAACGGTATTTGGTAAGCAGTTGTATAAACATTGGTACATCTCATTTCCATGGAGATTGTTCAGCCCTATACCATCAGTCATGGTTCATTGTCTTTGAATATATTTTACATGTTAAAGTATTCCTTTTTTAATTGTAACATTTGCATTATCAAAATAACAAATAGGCAAAACATGTCTCTCTGTGAAAAGCTTATTATAGATTAGACATGAACAATTATTATAAAAATAAGAAGATGTGGAATGATTGCCAATGAGACAACCATCCACAAAAAATCAAATGAAGTGGATGTAAGCAATTATAGGCAACCGTACAGCCTTCCAAAACATATGTTGCATCATTACTAGGCCATTTTAACAACATAAGCATGTATTGTAATATAATATACAAGAAAATTACACCACTTCAGATAGCTTCAGGTATGATTTGATAATTGTGCATAGTACTAGTGGCACCAGCTGATCCAACTAAAACTGCTAATATGGCATATTCATGTCTAGCACATAGTGGAATTAAACCATATATACACCACTGTTGGACACCATTATTGAAACTATTATTCTGATAAGAATATTCCTCCATGCAGCCTGCAACAATTAGCAAAACCTATACTGCATAGTAAGCTATAAACGACCATGAATTGACAAATGTAAAACAATAAAACTGAAGCATCCTGATTTATGTACAAAACAATTATGAAAAATAAACATGATATACAGCAACAATCACCAAATTAGTGGGTCCTCACTATGGACAGGTACATGCAGAATGTGGCGGCTTAAACATGTAAGCTGGCACAAAACTCTCCCCAAACATGGGAAAGTGTATGTACATTATCTCAGACTGAATCTTTAAAAATGTAAATTGGAAATAACTTTTGAAAGTGGTAGGATTGGATAGCGTACACATTTCTGTACAAACATTATTTGATACATCAGAAATAGCTGAGAATAATGCCTGAGATAAATATTTCCACTAATTCTTCCACAATATTCATCTGAACTTCTGCCAAGTTTGCCTTTGGTTTTTTAATTAAC